ATTCTATGCTTAGTGTGCACATTCCCTTTCTCAGGCCTAGAGTCAGACATGTTTCAAAGGAGCTTTGGTTCATTTGATTGGTAAATGGTATTTGGAAACTAACCTGGGCACTAGAGATTGCACTGTTACTGGGTTGGTCTTTTTTTCTAGGCCTTTCTAATATATATATATAATATATATATATATATTATATATATATAAATATATATTTCACTTACTTCCCTTAAATGAATATAACTATTACATATTTGCAAGCAGATCCCCCCAAAAATTGCTATCTAAGGAATATTATATATATATAAATATATATATAAAACCTTGATTCATGAATGAACAATTCAGTTTGTGAAAAGAAGCATTCAGCAAAACTTTGCTTCCATTCAGGAACTCCACATTAGGTGAGGAACACAACCATGACCATCTTCCCCACACAAACACAAACATGTCCATCTTCCCTAGAATCATGGGTGAATTAAGTGAATAAAGTGATGAACATATATATATAGATAGATAGCCAATGAGCATATGAGATGATGTACAACATTGTTAGTCATCAGAGAGATGTGGATTAAATCCTTAGTTTCATGCCACTTGCCACTCAATTAAATAAGTAAGATTGAAAACCCATACATGTGAGAATGTCAAGTAGCCTGGACCTCTCATTTAGTGCTGATTAGAATGTAAAATTGTATAATCATTTGGGAAAATGGCAGTTTCTTATCCTATGACCCATTAATTTCACTCTTAGGTATTTATCAGAGACTAATAACACTGTATATCTAAAATATATCTGTATAAGAATGTTTATAGCAACCTCATTTGTAATAGTCCCAAACTGGAAATACCAAAAAAGATTGACAAGACGTTGGTTGAATTCCGTTATGTTCATACCATGAAATAATTGCTTAGCAATAAAAGGCAGCCAACTACTGATACTGCAACATTGTTGAGTCTCAAAATCCTTATGTTAATTTAACTACATGGACAAAGACAGATGCAAAATCATATTAACTTTATGAAATTCAGCAGCTGGAAAAACCACTTACAGAAACTGAGACAATGATTGCTTCAAGACAAGAAAGTATTGACTGAAGGGGACCAAAGGAATTTCCTTGGGTGGCTGAAATGTTCTTGATTATTGTTGCGTGGATATGTACATTTGCCAGCACTCACCTAACTGTGAACTCGTGTGCATCTCAGTGTGTAAACTGAGCTTTAACAAGAGTGTTTTTTCCCAGTGATTGTTTTTTTCCCAAACTCCAAGAATCCTCTTAAAACTTTATTATAGTCAGCAATGTGTTTTTTATTGTTCAGTTTTTTTGTTTGTTTTTTTTTTACCTTATTGTATCTATATTACGTAGTTTAGTAGTTGAACCTTTTTTGGGTTCCATTATCTGTTCTTTGCTGAAATTGATGTCTTTGCCCTAAACTAGATTTCAGTGTATCTTTTTATTTTCAACCAGTCTCTGTGCTCATATTTAAGGTGTGTCACTTTTAATCACTATGTAGTTGATTTTAATTTTTTAAACCCAATCTAGCAATCTTTGCTCTTTAATTGGATTTTTTTAATCCTTTCATATTTAGCATAATTACTGAAACTGGATTCAAACTTCCCACCTATTTGTTTCTTCTTGCCCTGTTTGTTCTTTTAAGAAACTGTTATTAAATGTGACTATTTTATTTTCTCCTGGAATAAATTGTTCATTGTACATTCTTTTAATATATTATCATTCTGAAGATAACTTCTTTAAGTACTTCTCTTTCTCTACTTATCCCACAGAGCCCAAGAATTCAGGGAATCTAATATCTATTTTCAATAAATTCTTTTAGATTTGCTCTATTGTCTTAATATTTTTGAAAACTTGAAATGCTTTTTTAAAGTTTAGATAAGTTACTTTGTCTGTTGTTTTTAGAATCACACCCAGAAAATTTGACACTGTTCAAGCATCTGAACATTACAAAAGTGGGACTATCACCAATGATATTGGAGACTTAACTTTAAAGAAGAGGGAAATACGAACATCATTTACATTTAGGAAAGTGAGGCACACGCCTTGTACCTGTAGTAAGTATATCATTTCATTTCTACTGTGGAATGGAGTAAACTAGTAGGAAAAAGATCCTGTCTCCTAGATAAAGATCCAAAGTGCTTTAATTTCCTTATTGCCATTTCCTGTATTTCGCCTTCATGGTACTTTGATGCACTTTTCTGGACTCTCCCGCCCCGCTTAGAGTTTATATTCTTTGAAGGCAAGGGCTCCGTGCTCCATTTTTTTCGTCTTTGTTTTCCCCAAACTTGGTTCTTTTTTTTTTTTTGTACCAGGAATCGAACTCAGGACCTTGTGCTTGCCAAGCAGGCACTTGTGCCACTGAGCTGTATCCTCAGTGCCAAACTTGGTTCTTTAGCATTTTCTTGGGTGCCAAGAAAACATTTACTGAAGTAATAGTTCAGAGTGTTGGAATTATAGGGCAATAGTGTATCCCTTGTACCAAAATAGGTTTGGTTGGAAACTGCTTGCAACTTTTCAGAATTACTTTTTAGTAATCTCAGGGGGAAGTTAGAGATGACATACTACATTACAGCAGAGGACGCTAGGGCGATAACCAGCTGGCCATGGTTTAATGGGTTTGAAATCCTAGAAAGGACTAAAAGGAACTTTGTCAAGAGGATGCTATTTTGAATTGTGTGCACAAGCACATCTTGCCCTGGATTTCTTAGACTCAACGCACAGACAGCTCTTTTATTTTAAGAGACAACATTTTATAATGACAGTACTAGTAAAGTTCTTCTTATATCATGGGGGTTTCTATTATGGGTTATATCTGCCACAGCTTTTGAATTTAGTCATAACCTTAGAAACATTTTAAGTTAAAAACCCTTCTTGTAGTTCCAAGATGTTGCTGTGTTAGAAGACTGGAAATCTCTATATTTGATATTTTGATGATAAGGAGGTGTAAAATAAGTTTTTGTTTATTTTGCGAAAAGTGTCCTCAAGACCTTAAAATGACATTTTTAAAATGAAAAAATGCTTATTTAGTATTTGACGAGCGCTAACACTCCCCGTGAAGTATAGAAAGATACACCTTCTGTTTTCTAGGTACGGAAGCCTAGTTGGGGAACTGTTGTTTTTTTTTTGTTGTTGTTTGTTTGTTTGTTTGTTTGGTTTTTTTTGGTTTTTCTCCGGTGCCTGGAACCAAACTCACGATCTTGCGCTTGCCAGGCAGGCGCTTTTGCCGCTGAGCTAAATCCCCAGCCCCTGGAGAACTGTTGTAGTTTAGATCTAGAACGTCTCCCAGAATCCTCCTGTGCACGGAAGGTGATTGGGTCTTGAGGGCGCTTTACTTGGCAGCGGGTTCATCCGTGGATGAGTTCAGTAGTCCGAGGCGCTGATAGGAGTTGGGGCCTCCCCTGCTCCTTCCTTTGCTCTTGCTCTTTGGGTTGAACGCCTCTCCCTCCACCAGGCCCCTCTGCTATCCGTTCCTGCCTTGGAGCCAAAGGACCATGGAATTAAACTGTGACCCCACATAAACCTCTCCTCCTTTAAGTTGTGCGTGTTGGGTGTTTTGCCCCAGCAATGGCAGGTAACGAAGACAAGAGATAAGCTAGTGTTCTTACGCAGGTGTTTCTTAGTTGTGGGCATTTATTAAATCTAACGGAAACGCTAAGAAGCTCTGATTGGGCCTTCAGTGTACAGTTTTTTTAATTGACAAAGATTTATGTATTGATTGTGGACAGCATGGTTTTGAAATATGTATACATTGTGAAATGGCTAAATGGGCTAATTAGCCTGTGCCTTATATCATAGAATTTTTTTTGTAGTGAAAACACTCAAAATCCATTCTCCTAGTGATTTTCAAGGATACAGTACATTGTTATTAAGCATGGTCACCATATTATAGAGTCTCCTAAGCTTCCTTTTCTAAGTGGGCTTTTGTGTCCTTTGACTGGCAGCTGCCCAGCCCTCCTCCGCCTGCACCTCGGCCTTTCATAACCGGAACTCTACTCTGCTTCTCTGAGTGCAGTTTTCTCTGGCTCCTTGTAGGTGAGGTCCTGTGGCATTTGTCTTTCCCTGCCCGGCATATGCCCCTTGGCACATGTCCTTCAGGTTCTGTGTGCTGTTGCAAACTACAAGGTTTTCTTCTTTTTAAAGAATGGACGGTATTACAGTGTGTCACATTTTTGAAATCCATGTACTTGTTGATGGACACTCAGCCTGTTTATCTTGGCTATTGCAGATAGCGCTGCAGTGAACACGGGAGTGGAGATACCTCTTTTCTATACTCATTTCACTTCCTGTGGGTATCCGCTTCCCACCAGAGAGGTTGTTGAATCGTATAGTAGTTCTAGTTTCAGCTTTTTGAGGCATCTTCATGCCATTTTCTATAATGACTGTTTCCACTCCTGCCAGCAGGAGTGTAAGAGTTCTCTTTTCTCCACATCCTTGGTAACTCGTGGTATTTTTTTTGTCTTTTTGATAACAGCTGTTCTAACAGATATGATGTGATATCTTGTCGGTTTAATTTACATTTCCCTGATGATTAGTAAGATTTCCTTTTAAGGTCCTCCTTTATATACTTTTGGTCAAAATTTGCAGATTTTTAAGTGAAAAGAGGTACTCCTTCCTTTAGACAACTTTGATGTTTTTAATTTTTAAGATAAAATTTTACTAAGATCAGTTTAGGATAATTATAATATATACTGTGGTATACTTGTAATTCTAATATAATCAATATAATATATACTTTATATGCTTTTGGTCAAAATTTGCAGATTTTTAAGTGAAAAGAGGTACTCCTTCCTTTAGACAACTTTGATGTTTTCAATTTTCAAGATAAAATTTTACTAAGATCAGTTTAGGATAATTGTAATATATACTGTGGTATACTTGTAATTCTAATATAATCACTGTAATATAACTTTGTCTGTTTTCACATGTATGCTTCAGAGCCCTCAAGCTTTGGGGGCTATTATTTTCTTAAATAACCTTTAAAATAGTTAGCATTTTATTTGCGCATTCATGGAGTTAGGGTTTCTTCAGGTTAGGCTAAATCTAGTTACATTTAAAGTAAATAGTTTTGTTGTATGTCCAATCCTAAAGCCGTGAAAACTGCTGCCAGATTCTTCCCTGTCATGTGATTCCTCCTTATTTCTGCAATCTTGTCTGTGATTTCTCTAGAAATATTACTTCTTCCTTTATTCATAGGACAGTACCTATGACGACGTAAATGCCACAGACCTTGGCAGAAGACCGATTAGAGCATAGCAGAAAACAGGCTGGAATATCTGATTAGTATTAGATATTATTATAGAGAATAGGGAACAAGTTCAAAATTAATTTACGACATTAACTTAGAAATTTCCTGTGTGCTGTGCTTGGTAGTGGTCTCCTGGGGTTTTGCTCACTGTGGAGAAGACGACATAGCATAGTTATTGAGTGCAGCCCCTACAGTGCTTGGGTCCAAGTTTTGGCTGTATGATTTACTATCTCTGCCATTTCGGGAATGTTATTTACCTTCTTTTGCTGAACTTTGCTCATCTGTGAAGTGGTTGTATTAGTATATACCATATAATAATGGGGGGAGAATTGAGACCATACATAGAAACTGCTTCAAAGAGTATTCAGTAAATGCTTGTGATTATTACCAAATGACGCACTATTTCCACATTTTGTTGTTGTTCTGAGAGTACTAGGGTCCCCAGAACACTTACCTCCTTTACCTGTCCAGGGAAAGACTGTAAGTCCTTTTAGCTATATTTGTCACAGTTCGGCTCTACCTATCAAGATGTTTCCTGAATAAAAGGACTCTTAATCTCAAGATGAAATAGGCATAATCTCAAGATGAAATAGGCATCTATCTACATTCTAAGGCAGATGCAGATTACAGTCACAGTGTTTTTTCTTGTTTTGTCTTTTTGGGTCAGGATCGCACTATGCAGTTCAGGCTGGTCTTGAGCTCACTTTGTAGTGCAGGCTGGTCGCAAACTCGCAACCATCCTCCTGCCTCAGCCTCCCAGGTACCAGGATTACAGGCGTGCATCACTACGCCCAGCTTGGTCACATTTTTCAATAAATGAATGTTTTCCTCCTTTTATATTATATACCCCCTTGCACATATAGTTGGACTTATTAAAGAAGAACTTCATTTAATGGATAAAGCAGAGCCTTTCTATCCTTAGTCACCAAATTTGCATTGACTTCGTTTTAAGAAAACTTGGTATATTATACATCTTTGAATAAAGAAAGGTGATGTTGCTTTGTTTTTTCATGTAGATTACTCTTTGGTCTGCGACAGCCAGAGGAGAGAGACTCCTCCCTCATTTCCAGGGAGCGACAGAGAAGCGTCCCAGCTGGAGCAAGAACATGTGCACCGGGTTTATGAGGAGATCGCTGAGCACTTCAGCAGCACGAGGCACACCCCGTGGCCGCGCGTCGTGGGGTTCCTGAAGGCTTTGCCGGCTGGGTCGGTGGTGGCCGACGTTGGATGTGGAAATGGGAAGTACTTGGGCGTCAACAAGGAGTTAGTCATGGCAAGTGAAGCTGCTTGACTTTTGCAGTGGTTGCTCTCTTCCTTCTCAGGATTTATGCTATTTTCACAGGCATTACAGAAAAGTTGTAGCAGATTGAAAGTTAGTAAACGTTTCCTTTCTTTTTTATTCCCCTAGAAATTTATGGGCATGCCATCAGTTGTGGCTTTTTGCTTACTTTAGATTTTTCTTTCCAATAGGACTATTTTATCAGTAACCATTATACATAAAACTCTTTATAGATTAGAACGGTTTTTTATAGAAACAAGTTTCTTTGCTTGGATTCTCCTAAGGATGAGAAAGGAAAGTGGATATTTTAATTAGTCTTAGAAATAAGGAACTGAGGGTTTATAGGACTTATCTTCCCTGATGTTGCATAATGAGGAGACATAACTCAAACTTGAACTTCCAAATAAGCTGGAAATATTTTACATATAGTAGAAAGAAAGTGTACTATTTATTGGTGTCTTGCTGTCAAAGAAGGTAACACTCAGATTGGTTATGTGCGTTGGTCTCAGAACACATTCAGTTCAAATTGGTTTCTAAGACAAGTATGTACTTAATAGATGGTGTGGATTTTCTTGGTTGTTACACATGGTTGAGATTGCCAGTGTAGCACTCGATCACACCATATAGGAATAAGTTTATTCTGTATGCCTTTGGTCTTACTTAGTTTTTAACCTATATTGACTACTCCAGAAAAAGAAAGAACATAAAGGAAACTAACAGTGTCAGCTATCTGCTATGTACCAGGTGCTGTGCTTGTTTTCTCACATGTATAATCAACAAGATTGACATTACTGTCTCCAGGGCTGGGGATTTAGCTCAGCGGCACAGTGACTGCCTGGCAAGCGCAAGGTCGTGAGTTCGGTTCCCGGTACCGGATAAAAACAAAAACAAAAGACATTACTGTCTCCACTTTACCAATGAGAATACTGAGGCTCAGTCAGGTTATGACATGCCCAAGGTCACATAGTGTCAGGGCCAGTGTTACAGCCTCATCTTGGACTCCTGATTCCATAATCTGGCAAGCTGTCCTAGGGACCTTCAAGACTAACTGCAGTGTCAGAGGGCACCGGGCTATGAATTCCAAGATGGGAGGAGTCATGTCTGTTTTGTTCTACAGTAGTTGGCACGTAGTAGTAGAGACTTACTAATGGTTTGCTGAATAGTAAGGAGCAAACCTGTGAATTTACCTTCAATTTCCTACAAGAAAACTTTCACGAAAGCCAAAAGACATACAGTGCTGTGTTCTGACGCCATGGAGGAATGTGACAGCCTCAGATGAGTGTGCTTGAACTAGGGTAAAATGCTTGAAACCCTACTTTGCTGGTCATACTAGAATCCACGACAGGATTTTTGTCCAGCACTCGTTCCTTAGGTAACAATTACTGACACTGCATTGTACTTTTTTTTTTTTTTTTTTGGTTTTTCTCCGGTACCGGGAACCGAACTCACGACCTTGCGCTTGCCAGGCAGGCGCTTTTGCCGCTGAGCTAAATCCCCAGCCCCTGCATTGTACTTTTATGGTTAATAAAATATTCAATATCTGCATTTCTTTTGATCTCTGAGAAGTGAGTAATTTTATTCTTACTTCTTAGAGAAGGACACAGAGGTTCTGAGACTTTTTTTTTTTTTCATTTTAAACAAGAACTTTATTTAAACATCAAGACACTTGACTTAAAGGGAAAACTACCTAGGATTCTTTTTTTTTTTAAACAGTAATTTACTCCTACTTAAAGACAGATTTCCCTACATGTAACAGCTACGTGCAAAGAAGTTATAAAATTGTCCTTGGTTTTACAATGATAAGTAAAAAACATTAAAATTCTCCAAACAAGGTATGCAAGGATTTTTATATTGTTGTCTTTTCTGTTAAAACAGTGAGAGCAAAATAACTTAACTGGATTATAAAGGTACGAGCTGATGAGCGTGCTGCTAATGGAGAAAGGGGATTATTTTCACAGAACCAGTAATTCCCCGTCCCATCTCCATCTGATGCCAATCAAAACATATTGTTGGTCATTTAGTAAAAGAACAAAAAGCCAACATGCTTGTGCACATACACCAGATACTTTATGTACAATAAAGGAATGGGAAGGGGTAAATGAAACAACAGAGAAAACTCTACTGGAGTAGTCAGGATGTGGTGGAACCAAATTGCAGTTTTCTAATTGTGAATGTATTCTGGTCTGTAAGAACAGAGTTGTGGAGTAGGGTTGTTGCAGGTTCCCTTTTTAGTAGATGTCTCCTATCTGCTGCTGGAACACGTCAATTGTATTTTCATCCTCTATTTCCAACTGTGCAGGTGTGTCCGTTTCGTTGGTTGGCTGTCCATCATATCGGAATCCGATCTGCCCCCTGACAAACCCTGTGGTTCACAGTAGGCTTTCATTAGTTTACTAAGCGGTGTGTGCCTCTTAATCTTAAACTGCACCACAGAACCATCCTGCCCCGCCACCTTCAAATTAATGTGGTCGTTGTTCTCAGTCTTGACTCCTTCCTTGGGCTTTTCCTCGGCCGTAGCGAGCGCCCCGGTCTTCTTAGCTGCCTCTTCACAAAAGAGGTACCAGGCCCGCCCAGAACAAGCACACAAGCAGCACCAGGAGGGCAGAAGGAGGAGGAGCAGCGGTGGCTAAGCGAGGTTCTGAGATGATAGGTAGCTTTCTGAAGTTGTTCAGCTGGTTTTTGTGGGAGTCAGGATTCAGATCTGGAGTTCAGGGTCTCCTTTCTTTGCACTTTACTGCTTTGGTCTATTTCTCTGCTCTTTAAATTATTATCACCAGTCTGATTTTCCTATAATTGCATGTTTTCTTAATAACTAAAAAAAAATCTTATATATTTTTTAAGAAAAAATGATGTAATCATCATTCAGAAAATTTATGAAGGGTAATCACCTATAATCCTTTGACCCAATAAATCAGTGTATTGTGATAAATATCCTCTAATTGTTTTGTTATATTTTATATAGTAATGAGCATGTATGCAATTTGATAACTCATTTATATCACTTAATATTTTCATTTTGACAAAGTTTCTGGATTTTCTGATATTCTATGAGGTACATGTTACTGACCGTTTGGTTGTTTTGAGCCTGGAGATATTATAAACATGGTGGGGCTGGGGCTGGACTATAGCTTAGTGATGCAGTGCTTACCTAGCATGTTTGAGGCCCTGGGTTTGACTCTTAGCCCCACCAATAAATAGGAAGGCAGGAAAGAAGGAAAATAAAGGATGGAAGGAAAGAAAGAAAGAAGGATAGACTGAAGGATTGCACACTTAAGATTTTAAGAAGGCAGATTTGTTAAGGTATTCATGCTGAAATAAAAAATTGTTTTTAAAATTTAAAAAAATATGTAAATGTTTGTGTATATTTTTTCCACATACTGATATTGAGAAAAAAATATCATAAGGAAGAATACAGATTTTTAGAGTAAGAAAGACCCAGTTTTTAAATCCCTGTTCAAAAAAAAATCCCTCTTCCACTGCTTTATTGTTAAACTTGGGGAAAGTTACTTTGAGATGAAGTTTCCTTGTCTGTAATATGGTGATACTTCTCCCTAACTCAGAGTACCCTATGAAGATTGAATACATTAATATGAAGATTTTGCTTTAATATACAGAGGGATATCAGAAAAAAAGCTGTTAAAGTAGCTACTAGCTTGATTTTAAATGGTTGAGCCAGTTTGTACTGCCATCCCTGTGGTGCATTTTAATTTTAAAACATTTTGATAGTTTAATATGAAAAACTTAGAGCTTTGTTTTAATTTGCAACTTTGATTACTAAGTTGAATCTTTTTTAATTGCCTGTACTTCCAGAATTTTTGTTGAAGATTTAAAAAAAAAATAGACTAAAACTATATTTAAAGTCTAATGTGTATTTTTATGCCCTTGACCTCCACCCAACACACACAGATACAGCTTTATAAAAGTCTTGTATATATGTAGGTGTTTGCAAATAAGCTATTTCCTGTCCTGCTATTGAAATTCTGCAGCATAATATTACGGAGGATTTCAAATACCTAATGTTATCTTTGGTCATTGGACTATAGTGTGTAGAGAACCCCAGCAGTAGAGAAATGAGAGATGAAAGGACTGAGGTGGGCAGGAGTCAGTTCCTCGTCAATGGGGAATCTATAATCGGCCTGGTGTTTTGTGACTAAAATTGCTTGTGCTCTTTTTCGTTGGTAAAAAGGAAGGCTGTGTACAAATAGCGTAAAAGCCTGGCGAGAAGAGAGAAATTTCCTCTTGTTTTATTTGGCTGTTGTTCTTCTTGTTCTGTTTTATCTGTGGTTCTCAGATAATGACGCTCCTCCTCTGAACAGCTATGGAGTCCTTTCTCTGAGGATTTGTTTTATAGGCAGGTTGGATTTCTTCCTGTTGGCTTTTAGTGAGGTTTAGCTCGTTATGAGAATTGGGCATACTTGAAACTTCCGATTCTGAGAACTGAATTTAAATGTAACAAAAGGTGGCAAGTACCAAAATATATATATGTGTATTATCTGAGTGGTGCTTTTATCTTGATACTATGACTGACTGATTGGCGTGGAATATTGGTGAAGATAAGTGATAGTATTAAGTCAGGCATGGATCTTACAAAGATCAAGGAAGCAATGAATTGGAAATTTGCCACTGTTTTTATTAATAGTCTTCTAGTACTTTTCCATCTTAAAATAGTAAAGGGAAATCACTATACTTTACCTCTAGCTTGGTAACTTTTATTCTATGTCAGAAATTAAAATAGCTCTGGGATAGAATAGAGAAGCTGTTTAATACCAATAGAAATTGAGCAAACTCATTAAATAGGACTAGCTTGGGAATGTGGTTTTTTAACTCAGTAAGAATTGTTTGCTGTGAAGATTCATATTCCTTATTGTCAGAAAGATTGAGAGAGTGCTAAAGATTAATATTCAGTATATCAAAAAATTATATTAGCAAATATGAGATTGGCTTGGCCACTTCTATTTGATTAAAAATGCTTATACCATTCTTTTACTGGTTATAGTGATTGGGTTAAGAAGAAATGTGTGGGAATAATTATTAATTAGTGATTTAACATTTCTTAAACCCCTCCTATTCCTTCCTTAACTTTACACGTGCATATTGCAGAGGTGTGTGTGTGTGTGTGTGTGTGTGTGTGTGTTTGTATGGAGGGGCATCCTTAGAAGGAAGCAGCAAAGCTATATACAAAGACAGTAAAACTAAGAGAAAACATGGAAAGTCCCAGTTCCAGGGAACCAGAGAAATGCATGAAGCACATCAGGCTTCTCCTGCTTGGGGAGATGAAAAGCTGATGCTAGCTGCCTTCGGTGGTCTCATTCCCATAGAGTGGTTATTCTAAAAGACCCGTGTGCAGTGGGTCTTGTGGTGCCTGCATCTCCATTTCTGTTACTCACCATTTTTCACTAAGTAGTATCTCATAATGTTTCTCTTTTTGATCTTTTTGAGATGGCATCTCACTGTGCAATTCAGGCCGGCCGAGGACTTACTCTGTAGCGCAGGCTGTCCTTCGTGCCTCAGCTCCACCAGTGCTGGGATTACAGGCGTGCACCACACGCCTGGCTTTGTCTTACAAATTTTGAATTCAGCAGTGTATTCTTGATAAGGTTATTTAGCAGAAAAAGACTCAGTAGCTTTAAAAAGTGAAATATATTATTTTATTCCTTTTGTTTTGGGGGGGTTATTTTCTGATTATAAAAGTAATTCATGTTGAAAAGTAAAGAAGCAAGATTTAAAAAATCATCCACCCTCCGGTTATCTGGGCCGTCACAGTGTGGCGTGAATAGTGTGAGAGACATCTTAGATCATCTTTGTAGCCTCTGTCCAAAGACTACGTGTGTATGTTTATTAGATATTTTGATTTTTAAATGTGTAATATTACAGAAAGATCTGATTTTAAATGATTAATTAGGAACAAATTTGGACCTCTTACTTTCACTGCTGTCACTTTTTTTCTAGTTATTTTGTTTCCATTCACTAGTTTGAGTTGTTTGATATCTTTTAAGGTAATAAATGCTGCCTTGAGCAATTATGTATTCTGACTTTGTACTGCCTGTAAGAATTACTAGTGTCATAGTCTTAGGTCGTATGATAATGAAGGAGAGAATGCACCCACGGCTCTTAGTTTCTTGTGATATTTAAAGAGAATATTCTGAAATTATTTCCTTTCTCCGCTATAGATCGGTTGTGATCGCAGCAAAAACCTGGTGGATATTTGTAGGCGGAGGCGGTTCCAAGCCTTTGTCTGTGATGCCCTGGCCGTTCCCGTTCGCGGCGGGTCTTGTGACGCCTGCATCTCCATTGCTGTTATTCACCATTTTGCAACCCCGGTAAGGACTGCTTTTCCTTCTCCAAGAATTTGTAACTAAAGTCGCAGGAAAAGTTCGTGGATTTACTGGCTTTGGATTCTGATTTAGCTTTTCATCTCTTTCCGTTTGTTTTCTTATCTCACAATCTGTCCTCCTTTGCAAGCGAGCGTGTGGCATGAAGATCGGTTAGGGGGTTCGAAACCTGATGGGACTCTGCGCCTTCATTGCTGTGTGTTTCTTCTACCCCACGGCACATTCATTCCTAGGTGCCTTCCTTCAGACCCGATCACCGCTGGAGGAGGCTTTGAGCTCATCAGTTCTATGCCTCCTGAGTGTATGCCTCAGATGGATTCTCTTCTCTGTTTCTCTGTCTCGTTTTTCTTTCTCATCCCTGACATGGTATTCTTCCTTCCTTCCTATTGTGTTTCTTTCCTATTCTTTCTTCAAAATTCTGTCTTATTAAGTGATAGTAGTAGATTCACTCTTTTCATATGTTCTTAATTTTAAAATAAGTGAATTTAATATTTTACATTTCCCTTTAGGGGATGTACCACTTATTTTTCCTGGCCAACAGTTACTCCCCATGTCTAACCGAGAACTGTGTCTCTCATTTTTTGGGTCACTGGCAGTTTCAGTAGACCTGATGGCTTTAACTGAATTTTTTTTTAAAGTCAGAAAATTTCCTGTCACTTGTTTCTTCAATCACTCACTCTTTATTTATTGAGAGATTCTGCTAGGCCATACCAAACAGTATAAAATGGCTCTTTATAGCAAAGCCACTAGCAGTCAGTACACCTAGAAGCATTAATCAACAGAGAAAGTCCTCGCTTTCGTAGAGCTCGTGCTCAAGCGGAGGAGGCAAGGATTGATTTAGTGGTTTGGATGTATGTGATGTTTGTTAGATGCCAAAATAATGATTTGAATTTCGAGAGACGTTGAAAGGTCTCACCCTGAAAGGTCTTTTTGACCGGCTCAGCTATATACTTTATAGGGTCGTTCTTATGGCACTGTGGAAGATAACTTAGGCTAGGAGGCAAGATTTCTTTTTTTTTTGGTACCGGGAATTGAACTCATGACCTCAGGCTTGCCAAGCAAGCGCTTATGCCACTGAGCTACATCCCCGGCCCAAGGAGGCAAGACTGAGTGTGAGGCTGTTTTAACAGTAAAAGTGTCTGGAGACAGCAGGGCAAGGAAGTGGAAATACCAGAGGGTACTTCGTCCCGTCGCTGCTGCAGTATTCTTTCCTCGCTTACGTTCTGGTGCCTGTGTCCTTTTACCTGACAGAACTGCCTCTACCACTTTGCATTATTTTTAATTTGTGATCTTGAGCAATATTTTTAGTGGCCTTTGAATACTAAGGTTCCTCATGTGTAAATTGAAGATGACAAGCCAGGCGTGGTGACACATACCTATAATCCCAGCACTCTGGGAGGCTGAGGCAGAACGATTGCAAGTTTGAGCCCAGCCTGGGAAATTAGGTGACTTAGTGAGACCCTGTCTCAAAATAAAAAATTTAAAGAAGGGCTGAGGATATAGCTCAGTGTGAAGGCCCGGGGTTTAATCCCCAGTACCATAAAAAAGAAAAGGAAACAACAATAGTGTCATAGGGTTACTGTCAGAATAAATGAGGTAGCGTATAAAAAGTGCCTTTATAAAATGATCTCACCTTATTTTTTAGTTTAAAAAATCAGTCCCAACTCCTTAGACCCAGTTTAGAAAAATCTTCACAGTTTTCTCCTATTAATTCACTTCTCTATAAATTATTCGTGCTGAAAATACTTCCTCCTGTTTTAACACATAGTCTGAGATTATTTCTAGGGCTTTTGGGCCATTTTGAATATACCATTTAGATACTTCAATACAATGTAACTTTGACAGTTAAAAACATCATCTAGGCCAGTGTGGTGGCATGCCTACAATCCCAGCCCTCTCCTAGACTGAGATAGCAGGATCTCAAATTTGAGACCAGCCTAGGCAACTTAGGGAGACCCTGCCTCAAAAATTTAAAAAGGACGGAGGATATAGCTCAATGTGAAGACTCTGGTTTAAATCCCCAGTACCACCAAAGGGGAAAAGAAAAGAAACAAAAGAGGAAGAAATTATTTAAGGCTAATAACTGTGGAACTGGAAGGATCAATTTCATTTTATCAGTTATATATGTTTGCATATATACATTACAAATCTGTGTTCTCTTTGATTACTAGCTTTATAACTTTAATATACTTCATTATGATAGTTTTTCCTCCCCTGTTGACTTGCTAGTTAGACAGTCTTTTGTAATTTTTTAATGGTTACTGTAGGCAGTAGAATATATAGCCTAGATATTACAGTACACCTGAAATTGGCACGTGTACCCCTTCCTAACAATGTAAGACCGTCGTTAATGACGATAGTCCCTTCTGCATTTTAGTGTGCCACCGTTGGCTGGTGTTTTTAGCTTTGAATATACATTGATGTCTCTTCATTCTGTTCACCCTTCTGGGTGCTCTTGCTTTGTTCCTGCCTCAAGGTTTGAGTGAGTAGGTTTCTCTTGCTTGAATTCTCTTTACAGTTTGCATTAGTATATGTGTACTAGTGACAAGTTTTCACCTTTTAGATATCTGTTTATTTTGCCTTTATGTTTTAAAAGGTTTTTTCCACTAGGTCTTGAATCTAGATTGACAGTGTCTTTTATATTTTCCATCCTTTTCATTTCTGTACTTCAATCTGGGTAATTTATATTGGTCTGACTTCTAGTTCAGTAGTGCTCTGTGGAGATGTGTGTAATTTGCTATTAAATTAATTTTTTTTTCTCTTTGAGAATGTGTGTGAAATCTTTATATATATATATATATATATATATATATATATATAAGATTTATATATACATAAAAATTTTTTTTTGTCTTTTTGAGACAAGGTCTCGCTATGCAGTTCAGGCTGGCCTTGAACTCACTTTGTAGCCCAGGCTGGTCTTGAACTTCCAACCATCCTCCCGCCTCAGCCTCCTGAGTGTTGGGATTACAGGCGTGCACCACCATGCATAGCAGTCAATATATTTTATGTCTTCACTGAAACTCTTTTTTCTGGAGATTTATTTCTATGGTCTTTTCTTCTGATTTTCAGTTATTTGGTCATAATTTTTTTAAAACATATCTCATTTTAAATTAAATTCTGAATATCCTGTATTAAAAGGTTTAGATGCTTCTACCTGCCTTCAAAGACGATTAAATTGGGGCACACAGATAAGGTGTAAGCATATTACTTTAATCTTTTTGCTTTATTAGGGCTGATTTATGTCCATATTATTTTTGTCCCTATTTCTGGAATGTGGCCCTTCTAGGTTTCAGTTGAAAGCCTGTGGTATATTCCAATGCTATTACACCTAAGCAGACCTTAAACTTCAGTGTCTGTCTGGTTAGCATTGTTTGGCTAATAAAACCTATGTAGCTTTTTAATTTCCCAGCTGTTCCCCTGCTGGGTGTCTTAGAATTCCACACAGTATTCATGTAATTGAGCTGGAAAGGGTCCCTAGGGGAGTTTGCATGTTGACTTTTGGAATCACTTCCCTGCAGACCCTGCTTTACTCAGTAGTCTGTCCACGACTTTCTGCTGCTTTGACTTCCCTATACCCCGTGCCCCGATTCGCCATACCCGGGACACTTTCGTTTTCTGATGATAATGTGTCTTTTGTGGGGGAAGCTGGCATGAACATAGAGCTCACCTTCTATCTGGGATTTAATTCCTTTCTGTCAGGGATTGTAGCTTTTCAAATCCAGCCTGCAGTGTTTACTCTTCAGTGCTTTTGAGCAGCTGATTTATGTACAGGTTGACGATCTTTAATCTGAAAATCACACATGCTCCAAAATCCAAAACCTTTTGAGCACCAACAGGACACCACTCCTCACTTTACTTCATGTGATGGCTCACAGAATGCAGGTGCCAAGACTAGTACATAAAATTCCTTCCGGGCTGCACGTGAGACATAAATGAATTTGGGGTTTAGACGTGGTTTACATCCCTAAGATATCTCATTGTGTGTATAAAAATATTCCCAAATCCAAAAATCTGAAATACTTCTGGTCCCAAGCATTTTAGATAAGAGATATTCAACCTGTGTTTCATCCAGCCTTTGTGATAGGAGAATTAATATAAACTACTTCAAAACTATAAAGTCTCCATAATGCAGCTTACATAATTTTTTTTTAAACAAGCATTATATAAACAGTGATTCACATAGGGGTGCCTCATATTAATGCCCACAGATCTATAAGGAATCACCAGTAGTTTCATATATTCCAGGTACTCGGAGAAAGTCACAGGGAAGATTAATAGAACTAAAAATGTTGGGCTGGGGATTTAGCTCAGCGGTACAGAGCCTGCCTGGCAAGCGCGCAATGTTGTGAGTTTGATTCCTGATACCGGGAAAAAAAAAAAAAAAAAAAGAATGTCGTTTTCCCTACGTCCTCAGTGCTTTATTTAAATCACAGAACAAAGTGCCCTTCCCCTTTGATATAAACCATTTGGTGGGCTGGTATTACATTTTCTGTATAATGTGTCACAAAGACTTACGTAACGAGGGCTTGCTTTCCCTGTGTAGCAATGTTCAGAGGTGAGGACTAGAGAAGTGATTGGGTTATGTGGGTACTGATGGGCTATTAGAAAGTGGGGGCCAGCTGGAGGAAGTAAGTCACTGGGGTACGCCTTTGAAGGTGTAGCTTATTCTTTGCCTTTCTCTTTGGCTGTAGCACTTTCGGTGTCTCTTTTCCTACACCAAGCCCTCCCACAGAGGTGTTTTATTTTAGCTTAGGCCCGCAGCTATGGAGCCGGCCCGCAACTATGGAGCCAGCCCGCCCTGGGCTGAACCCTTTGAAACAGTGAGCCCAAGTCAGTCTGCCCTCTTCTGGGTTGTTTTTCTCAGGTGTTTGTATCATAATGACAAGAAGCGAGTAACACACCAGGGGGTGTAGCTCAGTGCTAGAGTGCTTGCTTGGCATCCATGAGGCTCTTGATGAAAGAGAGAAGGGGAAGGGAAAGAGAGAAAGAAGCAAAGGAAGAGGGATGGAAGGAAAAGAGGGAGGAGGGTTTTGCTAGATTTCTTACTCTTTATTCACGTTGAAAATGGTCCTACAGTCAGTTATATTTTTTCATTTCCTCTCTGTATCTCTTTCAGGTTAATAAGTGGCAATTTTTGTTTGTTTATTTTCTTAATTAGGAGCGGAGAGTGGCAGCTCTCCAAGAAATTGTCCGACTCTTGAGACCTGGTGGGAAGGCACTCATTTACGTCTGGGCAATGGAACAAGAACATAATAATCAGAAGTCCAAGTACCTTAGAGGAAAGAGAATTAGCCAAGGAGAGAAAGGAGAGATAAGGAGCAGTAAATCTACAGACGGATTTCCTGAGCAGACGTGTGACGTGAGCAGTCAAAACGCAGCCTCTTCTCTCACCTCCATCGATGATATTCAGGAGGAAGAACCCAGTTCAAAGAAAGCTCCTAATTCTGAGCTGCCTATTCATACTAACAGGACTTCTTTTCATTCTCAAGATGTGCTGGTTCCCTGGCATCTTAAGACGAAGACTAGTAAAGACAAACCTGTTGGGCCCTTGGATTCTGTAGGACCCCACGGCCCAGGCCCTATGCTTCATCGTTACTACCATGTGTTCCGGGAAGGAGAATTAGAAGCTACCTGCCAGACTCTGAGTGATGTCAGCATTCTGCAGAGCTACTATGATCAGGGAAACTGGTGTGTTATTCTTCAAAAGGTCTAAAAAAAAGGTCTGATTATTTCTATGGGAGCATATTGTATGTGGAGAAGAAATACTCAGCTTGTTTTAAAAGGAGAGTAAAGTAATTATCCCTTTAATTAAAGAGAAAAACTTGGGAAAGTACAAAAGGAGAGTTCCTCAGGACACTAAGAGCTACTTAGGACACATTCAGTCTGCTGCTGTTGACTGACTTCATAAATGTATGTTTCTCCTAAGGGCGGCTAAGGGAGGTGTTTAAATGTTATTGAAGTAATTTGTGAAGTGTCTGGGATCCCTGTGTAATAGTATCACATTTTGAAGATCATCTTTTGTTATAAAATGTTATTGAAGGACCTTAGTGAAATACTGCAATTTTAATAAAGGTAATATTTCTGAAGTATCATCTATGACTATTAGCTTCTTAAAATCATAACAATGATTTTATCATCATACCTTATTAGCACATGGCTTAACACAGTGAGTGCTCAGTATAATTTTAATCAGATAATACTTGCAAGTTAGTGGGAGCTTAATTCACCAAGTACTCAGTAAACCCCTGTCATGTACTAGATACTGTTTTAAGTAGGAGGAATGGAGCAGTGAACGGAAAGAACAGAGGCTGGGGATGTAGCTCCGAGGTGGAGTGTGTCCATACTTGTGTGAGTCCCTGAATCTCTTCCCTACCCCTGTAAGGAACAAAACAAAAAGAACAAAGCCCTTGCACTCATGCCGCTTGCATTCTGGAAGGAGAGAGACAGGAGGCAAATAGGTGAATAAATACTGGTGACAAGATAGTGGTAAACACCATGAAAAAATAAAATACCATGGAAAGATTATCTTGTAAATGGCTGAAATAATTACTACCTCTGACTTATTTATTACCAAGAGTTAAGTGGCATTCCTGATTCATTGATCTAGGTGTTAAAAGACAACCTGAATAAATTACAGCTGCCGAGAAAATTACATGTTTTTGTATTAATGTCAATGACGTTCCATCTCCAGATGTTAAATTTCCAGAAATGTGTCATTATTAGTAATAGGTCTTACTGAGATAATGAACATTTTGTTGTGGAATTTCCATGCCAGATCAAGATGTATTGTTCCCTCCAAATGAGTATGTAAAATTCGCAATACTGGAAGAAAGAGTATAGGGTGAAAAAGTTTTATTTCTCATATAAATTTTAGGACTTCACATTAAAATTTGAAATTTGATCCATGCTAGTAAATTTTAGAATGTAGATGAGGTACAGAACTTTCTAGAAAGATGAAAAATACTAAAATTGACTCAAGAAAATGAAAAGTAAGATATTAAAAAATAGCACAACAATTCAGAAGTTGGCTCTGGAATCAGAGTTCCTGAGAGTTGAATTCTAGGTCTACTATTTATTAGCTGTGACTTTGGGTGAATTTCTTAACTTTTTGTAAAATCGGGAGAGTTGTTAGGAAGTGTCACTGAAATAATAGTTGTGTAGAAGTTTTACTCCGTTAAGAATGTAGTGTACACTGGGTAGATGTTTCTTACTGTACCCTTCAAGAAGGCCTGGAGGAGTTCAGTAGTGAGTGATACCAAGGCTACTTTGATAATTGTATAATAAAATATACATGTGCTTGTTCTTGTCAGTTAAGGCAGATGTGTCAAGGTTCCTTGCAATTATTATGGAACCTTTGACATTTAGTCCTGTATGTTGTAGTATTGTGGCAGCTTTGTGCCTGCCTTATATTTTAGCATCTGATTTCCTAACACCTTCCCCTGGTGCGCTTCTTATCTAAGGTAAATTGGGCTAATGGTTCTAGAAAGAAGAAAATACTTTCAAGTCAGACACAGATTTGAAACTGAACTCCACTACTTAGTAGCTGTGGGACTTTGGGGAATGTGCATGTGGTGTAATACCTAGTTGGAAGCTTGTTGGATGGATTATGTAAGGGAACATGTAAAGTAACACTATACATATTACCTAATAGATGGTTGATAAATGCCAGCTTGCTCCTTCCTTATTCTCTCCCCTAACTGCATAGTTCAGAGCAATCTGATCTTGCCATTTTCTAATCGGTGAGTATATACTCTATTTGACATTGACATTCATTAATTCAATTGATCTGATGTAGATTTACTGATTGTCCTCTATGTTTTAGGCACTATTTTAAATAGAGACATCAGTGAACCCATGGAGTTTACATTCTAGCTGGAAAGGGTAGTATAATGGGATGTAGTAGAATAGACAATAAGCATAATAAATAAGTAAATATTATATTGTAAGGTGACTATTTTTCACAGAGAAAAAGAACAGGAAATGTGAGTTAAGATGGGATAGCAGATGAGTTTCAATTTGTTTGTTTGTTTGAGATAGGTTCTCTTATGCAGTTTGGGCTGGTCAGAGCTCACTATGTAGCCAAGGCTGGCCTTGAACTTTTGGCAATCCTCCTGCCTCAGCCTCCTGAGTGCTGGGATTACAGGCATGTGCCACCATGCCCGACGAGTTTCAATTTTTAAAGGGGTAGTTAGGTTAGTTTTTTTAGAAGTGAGAAGATGACATTTGAGTGAAGACTTCAAGAAGGTAGAAGCTACGTACTTATCTGGGAAGAGAACATTCCAGACAGAGGGGCAGTGCAGAGTCCTAAGGTGAAAGGCCAGAGGTGGAGAACTGCAAGGGTGTTGGTGTAGTTTGAGCAGAGTGAATGAATACAGTCATCCCTCGGTAGCTGTGGGTTCCCTGACTCAACCAACCATGGCTCAAAAACATTAGAAAACAGATGCATTTGTACTAAATGCATACAAGCATTTTTCTTGTCATTATTCCCTAAGAAGAACAGTATAACTATTTACATAGGGCTTACATTTTTATTAGGTGCTATAAGTGAACTACAGGTGATTTCAAGTATATGAGAGAGTGCAAAGGTTATATGCAAATACTATACCATTTTTTATGTTATAGTGTGAACTTTAATTGTAAAAAAATGTTTTCTGTAAATGCACCATTTTATACAAAGGACTTGAACATCTATGAGGGGTCATGAAATTAACCCCTGCTGGGTACTGACAGATGGATGTAGTTGAAGGTAAGGGCAGAGAGTTATTTTGGAAGTGAGGTAGACCGCATAGGACATGTAAGAAAGTCTTTGGTTTTTGCTCTAAAGCAGCAAGCTATTTGAGCAGGCAAGTGGGGGCTGTGTAGAGATGAGACAGTAAAAGGATAAGAGTGGAAGTAGGGGGACCAGTTAGGAGCCTTTCGCCACAGTCCAGTTGAGAGATGATTATTGGCTTGCAACAGTCTGATAGTAGTGGAGGTAATGAGAAATAGGCAGTTGCCTATGACGTTTGGTAGAACCTCAGGATTTCTGATGAGTTGGATGTAGGTGTGAGACAATAGAAGGAGTCAGTAATGTTTACATTCATGTGTGGAACTTCACTGCAGGGATGGTGAACCTTTTAGAGCTATCAGTGATACGAACAGCCTGCTGCAGCATGTGTGCCGTAGGTTCGCCACCACTGTCCTCAAGTGAGTTTTGTGGGATTATCATTCTTTAGTTCAAATGTCGTTTTGTTTTGTCCTTTTATTCTTCTCTTTGCTTTCAGGCATGGGTCTGCTAAGGTGCTATTCTGAGCACATCTTCCTGGTAATACATCTGCAGGTGAACCTGACAGTTATTTTAAGCTCAGATACTCCATGCACTGCTGGGCAGCAGGATGTGCAGTCAGTGTATGAAAATAGAAAAACAGAATGCAGTGCAAGGATTGTGATCATAAATTCCTTTAGGGACCATTAGAGTGAGAGAAAAACACATTCAGAGATCCCACATCATTGTAAGCAATGGAAAGGTAGGGGATTGACGCCACTTTTTTTTTTTTGTAAATCCCTTAAAAAGGAACTGGTTTCCCAAGAATCAGGCACGCATGAGCATAACCTTCAAATACCCTTTACAGAAACAAGGGGGAAATAAATGATAATGAAAAAAGAGAGCTTAGAGCTTTATTGCTGCCTTACCTTCTAATGTGGCTCTATTTGTAGTCCCCTAAAAAGTTAAGAAATAAGTGTATGGGGAGGAGATGTTTTATCAGAACAGAAAGTTTCACTGTCTTCCCTCTTGCAAAAGCAAATAAAGTTGGGAAAAAGCATCTAATAACAATTTTTAATAATGTCTACCCTGGCTTTATAGTTTCTAGTGAGGAAAATCTGGCATTTAAGGAAATGAAAGCTCTTAAAGTCTTTTAAAGGGACAACGTACGAGCTAAGAGATTTCTGTCAAGTTAAGAAGGTGCTCTTAGCCTGTGGTCCATGAATAAACTTCTGAGGGTTTGTGAAATGACCTGAAGTTACATGCAAAGCTTTCTGTGCAATTGCATGTGTACATCTTCTTTGCAAGAGGGTCCATGTATTTGTCTGCTTTCCATAAAAGCTGAAAAATCACGAAGTATGGACCAGGTGTAATTTTCCCTCGCTTATACTCATGTGATTTAAACACAGCCTGAATAAGCACCTGCTTGGCAAGCACAAGGGCATGAGTTCGATCCCCAGTACCGCAATAAATAAATAAATAAATAAACACAGCCTGAGTCTAAGCACAGGATGTAAAGGTGCTGCCTGGATTCTTGCAGCTTGCAAGTTTCCAAATGTGACCAGCATGTGCGTGTGAAGGAGTGGTATATCTGCATGAGTATTACCTGGTAGCAGTCCCTGACCCAGCCCATGGAGAGAAGACTGCAAGTACAAACTCAAACAGTAATGGTAGATTTCTTGAAGTTTTAATTGTAATTAACTTTGGGCAGGGATAGGAAACACAAGGTAAGTGTTAACCAGGAGACTGTGAATGTTCCTGGTTAACAAATTTCCTTTTCTTTTTTCTTAATAATAAGCACAAGCCTTGGTTATAAATATCCCTGTTAAACAGAAAGTAATGAAACATCTATACTTTGAGGCAGACCAAAGGAAGTAACAATAGTTAAATTTTTTTAGTTTTCTCTGGTTGCTGGACTGTATAGGTAGTTATAAGACTCGTAGTCTATTGTACTGACCTATTGCACTACCATGGTGGCAGAGGAATGGTATGCCACCTGGCTCGGGCCTGGGCTTGCACCTAACGCTATGGCCAGGGCAATGGAATGCTTTGGCTTCAAACTATCAGACCCTATGTACCTTTGAGTATCATAAATCCCACAAACTATAGGACTGAAAATGAAGAAGTTTCCTAAAGGATGTTTGAGTTATACTAACCAGAATGTCTGGGTGCTGGGTTACAGTCACAAGGATTTTACATCGCTCTAAATCTGCTCTAGAAAAAAGGGTACAAAGGAATCCACGCTGTACAGGCTTGTGACGCTGACACATTATAGATTTCTGGTAAGGCAGAAATGATATGGCAACATCACCTGGCCAGGATCCCTGTACCCACGGGAGTAATAGTGAC